TACACAACTTCCACCTCAGATATTCCAAACTACTTCAAATCAACCATCTCCAACCATCTCCCTACCATTAATCACTCAACCCATTTATGAAGAACCTCCTACTGAACTTTTTCAAACAATCAAATATCCATCACCCACACCACTAACCTCTCCACAAATAATCCCATAAACCATACCATACAATCCTGAACCTTCTTCACCAAAATCAAATCCTAAAAATAATAATATCACCAATTTGGGTGATTCTACTGAAGAAACCTAATCATTCCCTGAAAATTAACCTTCTGACCTTCCCCCTCCTAACCTAGATGAAGTTATTTATGCTTTTAAGGACAATGTAGTTATGAAATTCAAGACACTCTCTGATGAATCAAGTTCTAGCGAAGACCCGTCTGCTTTGGGTGCTCCCTGGGATCAACTCAATTAATGGATGTCAGAAGAATTTTAGAAGATTCAAAATCTCTCTGTTAAGACAAAAGATTATTTTGTCCAGCAGGCTGAAAAGAGATTGAAAGCTAAGAGGGAAGCGAAAACAAAGCTAGTTGCTGAAAGGGAACTAACTAAAAAGTTAGCTAAGGAAGTTCAAGATCAAGTTGAGAGAGAAGCTGAATTAAAAAATCAAGAAGAAGCTCTGAAAGCTACTGAAAACTCTACCTCTGATACAATGTTAAAGACTCTGTCAAGTATTCAGAAGGAGTAAGAGTTGTTTAGAACAAGAATGGACAAGCAAGATGAACTCACTTACAACATTCAAAATGCACTTGCTCAAATCCTTCAAAGACTCCCTCATCCTCCTCAATCTTAGACACTCCTTAGGCCACCCCTTAGTTTTCTTTGTCTTTTTGTGTTTATCTTATTTTGTTCTTATTTACCTTTTTGATCATGACAAAAAGGGGGAGTATATTAATGAAAAATTATTTTGATAAGAATACCTTGTCTCTGAATCATAGCTCTAATATTCTAACTTTTTAATTGCACACAATTTTTTCTTATAATGTTTTTCAAGAACAAATTGATATCTTGGCAATCAGGCTTTAGTATATTATCAGGCTCTAATTTTTGAATCTGATAAAAATTTTATAATAAGGCTCTGGCATCTCAAATCTGATAAGATTTTTTAAGTCTTAAATTCAGAGGGAGCTTGATAAAGGGAAGTTATTTCTAAAAAATTATCTCTATCATATCCTATTGATTATATTCGTACAAAATTGTGTCATCAAAATATATTATTTTATCATTATCAAAAAGGGGGAGATTGTTATAACAAGATTGGATTCTGCCAAATATCTCTAAGTTTTGATAATAACAAAGTAGTATTTGTGTGAGAACAATTTTGGTACTCTAACGTTTGTTTTTTTTGTGAAGAATTAACAAACAGGTTCTAACTCTGACAGAGAAAGCTCTGACTCTGATAGAGACCATGTGCAATGTCACTCTGATATGACCAAAGTTGCTTATGCGCCATAAAAACAAGTTTGCTTCTGATTTACTCACATTTAGAAAGATTCTAAGAAGACAATATGTTGTTGCTGCAATGCTCTATTGGATTCTGGTTCTGAGCGAGACTCTGGTGTCTTACTTCTGAAGGCTATCTAGCTTTTGAAGTCATTATCTTCTAAAAACTAAGTGCTAAAGACTCTGAAGACAAGGTTCTGCTGAACAAAGTTCTGAAGACTCTGAAGACTTGAGTTTCTGAAGATTAAGTGCTGAAGACTCTGAAGACAAAGTTCTGCTGAACGACGATCTGAAGAATACGAAAACTTAAGTTACTAAAGACCAAGGGTTCTAAAGACTGAGCGCTTAAGACTCTAAAGACAAAGTTCTGGTGAACAAGTTCTGAAGACCCAGTAATCAACTATTCTACTCATGCTTCAATCATCTCTATTCAGAAGCCTATGATGTACAAAGGATAAGATCAAACGTTTACAAGGGAAATAATACATAGTACATATCAAACACGTTCTATCCCACTACCATTCCACCACCCTGATTTGGTGGTACAAAGGATAACTTTTGTGTATGATTTTCATCCATGCGTAATGACATAATTTCAAGTTGTCAGCTATCTAAAGGATTTTCCTGATCTGCCCTCCAACGGATCTTTTTCTGGCTATATAAGGACTTGATTACTTGAAGAAAAAAAAGACTGTACAACGGTTATCAAAGAAGAATAAACGACAAGAGATAAACGATCTATGAAGAATTGAAACAACAGTATTGAAGCACCACAATACAAAGAAAGAACATTGTTCATACTGTAAAAGTTTATTTAAGTCATTTGAGTTATTAATAGTGTTTATATCTGCTTGTGTATGAGCAATTAATTGTAAACATCTTTGTTCAAACCGTTGTTTGTATTTTCTTAAGGGACCAGTTAGGTCATAATCCTTAAGAAGAGACAATTAGTCTTTGTTGTTAGTCACCAGCGGTTGCTAGTGCAAATTGAGATTCCTTAAGGGACCAGTTGGATCAGAATCCTTAAGAAGAGATAGTTAGTCTGTGTTATTAGTCACCAACGGTTGCTAGTGCAGTGCAATTAGTTGATTATAGTGGATTAAGTCCTTGTGTATGAGGTGAAATCACCTTGGCGGATGGACTAGATTTGCTTGACAGTTTTCAAGTGAACCATGATATATCATGTGTCTTTCTCTCTTGTTAGTTTATTTGTGATATTTGTTTGAGTTTCACAAAAAGCTTCCATTTTAGAAAACCCAATTCAAACCCACATTTCTTGTGTTATCTCACACCTTCAAATTGTACGATTTATTCTTGCGCCTTTTTGCTACAAGCATGAGGTTAGTCAAGTATTCTGACACTCGCCCCGGTCAACACCAACCCATTCACATTCTTCTTATATGTAAATAAGTAAGTTTAATTTAAATTTTCAAAAGTCTATTGTAAATAACAAAGTTTCAATCTATAAAGTTTATTGTAACTAATTAATTTTCTATGTTTTTGTTTTAGATGGTCAGTGCGGGGGATGAATTATAATCGATGTCCCATAAACACTATAATCGTGTATCGCAATCTTTTAGACCATATTGGACTAGACAATGTATTACAACTAAACTACTATAAATTTGGCTTAAAAGTTAACATACTGCAAATCTTCTCATTATGTATTTTTATTATGCAGTTTGTCTGGAGGCTGTATCTGGGTCTCGACCATCAGCCTAACCCCGATGATGTTACAAATTGGACAATAAAAATACCAACCATTAGGTTCATTATAGTGGAGATGCACCAAAGTGACCAAGTGAAACTGCAGTTCAACATGCAACAAGATATTCCAGTCCCCCCGACGTGTTTGGGAGACTAGCATCAACAAAGAGTAGATGCACAACGTGGTTATGAAGATTGAAAAGATTTGCTAGAAAGATGTGTCGACATTGGAGGAATCAACGTCGTCACATCTTAAACGAGCCCGTCGTGGAAGGGGTTAGACCAATACATCATTATATGTATTAATTTAGATCAGTTACATTGCAACAATTTGTATATGAGCCGACATATTTGATCGACCCCCGCAAACAAACTTCGTCCTCATACGCCCAACAACAAACACTCGCCCAACAACCAACCCCACACCATTACCAAACCCAATAACAATGTTTACCTACCAATCCCAACTACCAACCTCATAACGTCAACATTCCACGTACACCGAACCACCAAACGTGCAAACCCGCTACCCATTCACGCCATACACCAAACACAACAACAAGAGCCTGACCAATACCACCAATAACCATACACCGACACCACATTTATCTATAGCCCCGACAACTTATTGGACTCCACTCTAGCCCACCACAACCCTTCACCAATGAATACCTAAACATCCCACCGCCAAACCACCCAACCACAGTTTGACTTTCTTACCCCACAAGAGCCATTGCTGCGTTCCCAAAACGATTCAATGTACCAATTCAGCCAACCATACCGTCCTCACCTAACTCAACCACTACGACCCAACTTCAAAAACATGGGTACATAACTGAATTACGGCAGCGCCGTTGGCAGCAACCCCGACTATTGGGGACAAATGATAGAAAATATGTCAAATACGTCGGGTCCCTCGCACCAACTACATTTTCCTCAGGTCAATACACAAAGACAACAAACACCTCAACAAAATTATGGTAGTTCTTGGAGATAGGCTAATGCGCCAAGATGTGAAACCGAGGAACGCTCGATCGGACGAATCATTAATTTTCAAATCAATTGTTGTAACCTTTAAATTCAATAAATAATAATTTAAATTATTTTCTATTTTTTATTTTTATTTATAATTACATTTATTAACAAAAAAACTTAAAGAGGATGTGCCATTTGAAATGGCGTATGCACTCCATGCATACGTGTATGCGCCATTTCCTATGGCTCCATATACATACATAAGCCATTTCAAATGACACCTTTGATTTATCTTGAATGCATAAGTTGGTTCAAATGTCGCATTTGTTTTAATTCTTTTTGAAATATTGTTATTTCTGTAATTATTTTAAAAATTTGATTTATTTAATATTTTATTTGAAAATAGTGATTATTAAAAAAAATTCAAAATTATATTTAAGGAAAAAAATAAATAAAAAAATAGGTTGAGGCGTTGAGCTGTCTTAAAATCAAAGCAAACTAGCAAAGGGATTATTCGTAAATAACGTCTCTTCGCGAATCATGTTATTTCTGCAATAATTTAATTTATCTTTAATAGAAAATTACACCCGCAAATTGCTTTATTAGCGCAGTATTAGTGACATAACACGAGATCTTTGCTTCTCTGTCATTTTCTTTTTCAAAGAATTTCCACTCTCTTTCACTAAACTCCGTTTATTAGTCTCTGTAGCACCTCTTTTTCTCCTTCTTTTCTTCTCTCTCTTCGTTCGCTTTTGAGAGTCCAAGCTGCTTCCAGATCTTGTATACTGGTTTGGATCCATCTTTGACTCTCCATCTTTCAATTCAATAACCGCCATAGATCTCACCCTCCGATCCAAATCACCATGGCGGCCGCCAATGCTCCGATCCTCATGCGAGAAGCTCTCACCGTTAGTTCTCTATGTCCTTTACGCTTTTTTTTCATCTTTCTTAGTTTTTTCTTTGCTCAGTTTACTACTCTATTACTATTTTTCAACTCAGTAAAACACAATATATATTGATTTTTAGTTGTTATATGCTTTGATCGGTTATGATTTTCGTACTAGATTATTGTAGTGTGATGTAATTTACTGTATTACTTTACTTTGTTGCTGTTAAGTTTGCTCAGATCTAATTGATTCGTGTTCTTGTTTGAATTTTATATTTGATGTTAAGTTGTTGAATGTTTTGTGTGTGATTTGTAATTGCAGTTGCCAAGCATTGGCATAAATCCTCAGTTCTTCACGTTTACGCATGTGACGATGGAATCTGATAAGTATATATGTGTTCGAGAAACTTCTCCGCAGAATAGTGTGGTTATTGTGGATATGAACATGCCAAATCAACCTTTGAGGAGACCTATTACTGCAGATTCTGCTCTTATGAATCCTAATTCTAGAATTCTTGCTTTGAAAGGTTGGCAAGTATTCTTTTTGTATTCTTCATTTCAACTTGCATTTCAGTATTGATTTGAATTTTGCATGTCACTGTAAAGGTAAATGTTTATTTGGTTTGATTTATGTTATCCACTACCCTCAAATATAGAAGAAAATATTGGAAATCGTAGTTTTTGAAATTTCTAATGCATTGATGCCTGTCACGGTTTCCGAAAAAACTTTCCATATCTTGTTTCCTTAACCCATTGTTCTATTTCCTTTTATGCAACTATTTTACCGAAAGAAAATTGCCTATCAATTCTTTAAACTTCGACAAGGAGCAGGCTAGAAATTATTTTAGATACTCGCATCACGCGTCGCGATTGCCAGGGGTAAATACTTGTGAAGTAAAGTAGATCTTTGATGGACTTTAGGAAACAAGTCAGTTTGCATTCATATGTTTCAATTCTTTGAATGAAATCAGAAGACCATGTTGTAAATTGATATAGTTATATCCTGAAATTACACTTGTAAATTGATATAAATATATCCTGAAATTACACACACACACACACACATGCATCTGTTGCGGTGTGCTAAAATGGCACGCTTGTTCCATTTTTTAACAAAACACTCGCCACTCTTATTTTTTCGAAAAATTGCAGTCACCTTTCTAGATTTGTTTAAATGTCACACCCCTTTGTTTTTTACAGAGTAGAGGGAAGGCATGTTTACATAATAGTGGGGGATATGTTGCATTTAAACAAATCTCAAGGGAGCTGAGTCATGAGTGCAATTTCCCCTAATTATATTAAGAGAAATAAAAATCAATATTTTGTTTTTATATCCTATAATAGGGTAAGAGAACTATTGCTATAGGAAGAAAGACAACTGTTATTAAAATGATATTAGTTCTCAATGCTTCCAACCATTTGGAGAAAATTCAAGGTCTTATTTGTCCATGTACTTTTGTTTGCGTTGCTCTCCTCATTTATATACCTTGAGAATTATGAATATATATATTCACTTATAAGCTATATTCTTCTCTTGAAGCCCAACTCCAAGGAACAACTCAAGATCACCTACAAATATTTAATATTGAACTTAAAGCAAAGATGAAATCTTATCAGATGCCTGAGCAGGTACCTGTCGTATACTGTTATACCGTATGCGTGCTCTGTAAAATATCGGCAATAAGGACAACCTTGTTAATCCTTGTGAATGTCCTCGTTTCATTTGCAGGTAGTCTTTTGGAAGTGGATTAGCCCCAAGTTGCTGGGTCTTGTGACACAGACCTCTGTATACCATTGGTCAATTGAAGGTAGGATAAGGATGAACTACAATTTGAGTAACTCTTTATGGTTTGTTCTTCGGTGCATCTGTTGCATGTCTGTAAACTGTTAACTGGTATGTGATATTGTAACTTATAGGTGACTCTGAACCTGTAAAGATGTTTGAGAGAACAGCAAATCTGGCAAACAATCAAATAATTAATTATCGATGTGACCCTACAGAAAAATGGTTGGTCTTGATTGGTATTGCTCCTGGTTCCCCCGAGGTATATCTCTGGTATTTGTTATGTTAAGTAGGTTATCATGGTGAATTACACTTCAAGTTTCTCATATTCCTTTGGTCTTTCATCTTCTTTGATTAAGTTTTCCGAGTAAAGTCTTTTGATACTGGTTAAATATAAAACTGAACAACACAAGACTTTTGGGCAATTGATCCTTGGCATTAGAGCCTCTTTGACTTAATAGTGGGGATCTTGATTTTGTTTCGCTCTTTCTATAAGATATTGTATTTCAATGCAGTGTAATATCGGGCTTATGCATGAAGAGGCATGTTAGATATACAACTATTTTTATTTCAACTAGCAGATTAATATATTAAGTCAATTAGCTTTTGAAAACAATCATGATCTATTTTACTATAACTTTCATGAGCCTGATCTAGTTTTGTTTATTTCTTTATATCCTCTTGCATTATAGAGGCCACAATTGGTGAAAGGAAATATGCAACTCTTCTCTGTGGAACAACAGCGTAGTCAAGCTCTCGAAGCACATGCGGCATCATTTGCTCAATTTAAAGTATGCCTCTTTGTGCATTTGTTTTTGTTTTTCAATATTTACTTGAATAACTGTGCACTATATCATTTTACTATGTTGACAATATTGTATTGTTTTTGAACAGGTTCCTGGGAATGAAAATTCTTCTACTTTGATTTCTTTTGCCACCAAGACACTTAATGCCGGTCAAGTGATATCCAAGTTGCATGTCATTGAGCTGGGTGCACAGCCAGGTCTTCATAATTTTTTGCTGTCACTCTTTTGCACTAATCTATGAGTAGTATGGCTTTAAGATTAATCTGTCTTGTATTGCCAATTTAGTTGTCATATGTTGAGTTCCAAGCATGCTTTCCCCTATTAAATAGAAACATAAATTTTAAATTGGTAGATCAGATCTCGAGATTAGTCAGACAACTAGAGAAAAGATTTGTGGATGTAAGGAGAGTAGATCAGATGGGAGAGTAGTTAAACAACTAGAAGTAGAGGGATTATTAACGTGTTGGATAAAAAATATGGTATTTGATAAAACATTATGGCGTAATTTGATCCATGTAGCTTACCCTACTTAGTAAGATAAAGCTCGGTTGTTATATAAATTTTAAATTGGTCATTACTTGTATTTCAAGAGCTATATGGGAGAACTAATCTTTCTTAAAGATGCCTCTAGAACAACTTTTTCTTGCAATCTAAAATTCTTCCATTCTGAATAATTATGTTAATAGACTCAAAATTCTGGACCGATGAATCAAAGTGATTTTGTAGTGGACTAAGCATATGGAGGATGTTACTCATCATTGTTAATTGGTTTAGTTAATGAAATAACTTGCCTTATGTTGCCTGGCCATGCTCCTGGGACTAATCTCGGATAGCGGCGCGTAGCGCCGAACCTCCAAAATGCTATAGCGGCATAGCAGATGACCGCTATTGCGAAGACTAGAAAACAATGTATGTAGTACATTCCAACAGCATGCGTAAATACTTTGCAACAACATACATAGTAGAATTCCAACATTAAACTAAAATTCCAACAACATACATATCCTCCATCAAAATCAAATTATAAAGGTTATTCCTTCTGTTATTGAAGTTAGTGTGGTCATTTAAAGATTGACAACCTACTGTTTTCAAATAATGGCCATGGTGGATAGCAGTAACCGTTTTTTTGCTTCTTGCCTCTCCGCCATGGCCAAACTTGTGAAGGATGGCGGCCCATATGTCCTATATCGCGGGGCCATATGTCGGACTTTTGGCTCTCCGCCATGGTTCGCCATTGATACAACTGTTTGGGCCTTCGATGTAATGACAAGGCTATGAAGCTTCTGTAAATACATGTTAGGCTTGAGTGGTGTTTGGTGGTTAATTTCACAATTCCTAAAGCAGTTTATTGAAGTTAGTGTGGGTATTTAAAGATTGATCGGGATATTGTATCAATAATAAATCTTTTGTATCGTTATATAATTTGTGATTCAGTTGATAATCCTTCTGGGATTTAACATTTCAAATTTGTCGGCAGGGAAGCCTTCATTTACAAAGAAACAAGCAGATCTGTTCTTTCCCCCTGACTTTGCTGATGATTTTCCGGTTTCCATGCAGGTAGAGGAGTTGCTGATGTTGTTCTATTTTGTTAACTATGCAGATAGTGATTCATAATTTGTAATTTGTTGTTTTGGCAGATATCCCACAAATACAGTTTGATTTATGTGATTACCAAACTTGGTCTCCTATTTGTCTACGATTTGGAGACAGCTACTGCTGTATATAGGAACAGAATCAGCCCCGATCCTATATTTTTGACGTCAGAAGCTACATCAGTGGGAGGCTTTTATGCTATTAACAGACGAGGCCAGGTGTTACTGGCTACCGTTAATGAGCAAACAATTGTGAATTTTATCAGTGGTCAAGTATGTTTCTGATCTTGTCATCACTTCTATGATGTAAAGAGGAAATGAAGGCGCACTGTTACTAATTTCCGTTGGTTATTATCACAGTTAAACAATTTGGAGCTAGCAGTAAGTCTTGCCAAGAGAGGAAACCTTCCTGGTGCTGAGAAGCTGGTATGTCAATTTCTAGTTAAAATATAAATATGTTTTTTTGTTGAGCGTTGTCAGGAGAGTCCCTATAAATTGTAAGTTAGATGCAATTTGGTTGGGTTTCATATGATTTCCAAGTGCGAATTTGCATGAAGTTTGGCTCCATGGTTGCTCTAGAAAGTTCAATATTTTAGTAGATACTTGATAATCTTTCCATTTAGCATTCACTAGTGCAGGTTATTAAAAATCAATGCAGAAATATCCTTTCCTAACCGGTTTTTTGTTGTACACCGTTGCATTGTCAATACAGGTAGTGGAACGTTTCCATGAACTATTTGCTCAAACAAAATATAAAGAAGCAGCTGAGCTTGCTGCTCAGTCTCCGCAAGGAATCCTTCGTACACCCGATACAGTTGCCAAATTTCAGGTTTCTTGATAGGATGTAGCAATCAAATAATTTTTCACACTGTTTCTGCAACAAAAATATGTAGACAAACATCTTTTGCTTATTCTGAGGGATAAATGAAATCGTGTCTTGTGCTGTTCTATTTTTCTGGCCAATTAGACTCTAGTGGTTAGGGTGACAATCTTTTCTATGTTGCAGAGTGTGCCTGTGCAAGCTGGGCAAACTCCACCACTGTTGCAGTATTTTGGAACTCTTTTAACAAGAGGAAAGCTGAATGCCTTTGAATCGCTGGAATTGTCACGACTTGTTGTGAATCAGAACAAGAAAAATCTTTTGGAGAATTGGTTGGCAGAGGACAAGCTTGAGTGCAGTGAGGAGCTTGGAGATCTTGTGAAGGTTCGTTTGCAATTGAAATTTTAGAATTTGTTGTTTTTTATTTTTTTGCTTTTTCTTTCTGATTTGTTCCCCAATGATATACTAATACTATTTCTAGTTGGATTTACTTATTGTCAAATACTATACATTCTTTTTAATGTCATTAGTGTTCTCCATTGTAGACTGTGGACAACGATCTTGCTTTAAAAATATATATCAAAGCCAGAGCTACTCCAAAAGTCGTTGCTGCATTTGCTGAGAAAAGGGAATTTGACAAGATTCTGATATACTCTAAGCAGGTAGAGGGCTTGTTTTCTTGGCAAAGAATGTTGATTTTGAATTTATGGGATTGTTTATCTTATAATATTTTTTCTATGCTGTTATGGTCTGTACAATATTGTACTTCGCCTGTATTACTGAAGTTCTATTATATCTTGCCTTTTCATTTTCCTGGATTTGATCAAGCCTTGACATTTTCATTTCTCCCGACTATCTCTATAGGTTGGATATACACCTGACTATCTCTTCCTTTTGCAAACAATTCTCCGGACCGATCCTCAGGTATGACAAACCTTTTGCTTTCCGTATTGTTCAATTACTTAAGTTGAACTATTTTCTTTTGAGTACTCCATTGTCTCCCATCTTGTTAGCTGGTGGTCACTGATTATTTTTCTCTGCACTGTACATCACTAATTTTTTATTTATTTTGTGTTGACAAATTATAGTTGTGCAAATTGACCACTTTTCCATTTTGATTTGCAGGGTGCTGTTAATTTTGCATTGATGATGTCTCAAATGGAAGGTGGCAGCCCAATTGATTACAACACTATAACCGATCTGTTTCTTCAGGTTGTTATCTACTGCAGTTAATCTATTATATGGTGATCGTAATATACTATTCTTGCAATTTCGCAATGTGTTACTGAACAATCCATTTATTACCTTATGGTTACTTTTGTCCCGCTCAGAGAAACCTGATCCGCGAGGCAACTGCTTTTCTCCTAGATGTTTTGAAGCCAAATCTACCGGAGCATGGATTCCTTCAAACAAAGGTTTCAGTCATTTCTAATTAGCTAAAGGCGTTTTACTCCTGCAATTTGTTCTTTGCACTAATTCAATCTTATGAATTGTTCAGGTGTTAGAGATAAATCTTGTGACTTACCCCAATGTTGCTGATGCAATTTTGGCCAACGGTATGTTTAGCCATTACGACCGTCCTCGTATTGCCCAACTCTGTGAAAAAGCTGGTCTTTATGTGCGAGCTTTGCAAGTAATGACCATACATTTCTTTACCTATGTTTTCATTTTCTAGTCTAGGGCTAGAAGTCACCCCTACTAATGATTGCATTTTTTTTTTTGGCACAGCATTACACTGAGTTGCCAGATATAAAACGTGTGATTGTAAATACACATGCAATTGAGCCACAGGTTAATGTGCCCCATTGCTTTTATCTTTTTTCATGATTTTTTAATGTTTTAATATATCTATTTCAAAGTCATGGTTTTAAATGCTTAGTCATGTTATTTGGTTTTTGCAGTCACTTGTTGAATTTTTTGGTACTTTATCACGAGAATGGGCTTTAGAGTGTATGAAAGATCTATTACTGGTCAATCTTAGAGGCAACCTACAGATAATTGTGCAGGTATGGAAGTGTGGCTTTTTTCTTCACATAACTAGAAATTAGTAATGTTCAATTGATTACTGAAGCTTGTGTATGTTTGTCCAGGTTGCTAAAGAATATTGTGAACAACTGGGAATTGATGGTTGCATAAAGATTTTTGAGCAATTCAGGTCATATGAAGGACTGTATTTTTTCCTTGGTTCATATTTGAGCTCCAGGTAATTCTTTCATTTTGAAAGATTTATTTTAGCTTGTGGACAAATGGATCCCATTTGTACTGAAGATTGTCCAATGCACATATCTGCTTACATTTGTTTTTCTGATTAATATGGGATAGTGAGGATCCCGACATTCACTTTAAGTACATTGAGGCAGCAGCAAAGACTGGACAAATCAAAGAGGTTGAGCGCGTGACTAGAGAATCAACTTTCTATGATCCTGAGAAAACCAAGAACTTTCTGATGGAAGCTAAGCTTCCAGATGCACGACCACTGATTAACGTTTGTGACCGATTTGGATTTGTTCCAGATCTAACACACTATCTATACACAAGTAACATGCTTCGCTACATTGAGGGTTATGTCCAAAAGGTATTATAGTTTGCATTTATACTGTAGCAGCTCTTTTTATTGCAATACCAATGGTGCTATCTATTCTCTCTGCTGCAGCTGTAACGTTATGTCTTGCCTTATAGGTAAACCCAGGGAATGCTCCTTTAGTTGTTGGGCAGCTGCTGGATGATGAGTGCCCAGAAGATTTTATCAAAGGATTAATTCTCTCTGTTCGATCGTTGCTGCCAGTGGAGCCCCTTGTGGCGGAGTGTGAGAAGAGGTGGTATCCATTCTCCTCTAATACAAATAATGTTTTGCATTCATTTTTCTGAATTTTCTCTGGCATATCTTTTGGAGTGCAGGAATCGGCTTCGTTTGCTATCACAGTTTTTGGAACATCTTGTAAGTGAGGGAAGCCAGGACGTGCATGTTCATAATGCACTGGGTAAAATCATCATTGATAGTAACAACAACCCAGAACATTTTCTCACTACAAACCCATACTACGATTCCAGAGTTGTGGGCAAATATTGTGAAAAGCGGGATCCTACTTTGGCTGTTGTGGCTTATAGGCGAGGACAATGTGATGATGAACTTATCAACGTGACAAATAAAAATTCCTTGTTTAAACTACAAGCAAGGTTTGTGGTATATATGTATCTTTTACACTAATTATTTGTGGCTCCAATGCTTACATGTTATGTTATCGCTGCAGATACGTTGTTGAGAGGATGGATGCTGACCTGTGGGAGAAAGTTCTTATCCCTGATAATGCCTACCGAAGACAGCTTATTGATCAAGTGGTATCTACTGCTCTTCCTGAAAGCAAGAGCCCTGAACAAGTTTCTGCATCAGTTAAGGCTTTCATGACTGCTGATCTACCTCACGAGTTGATTGAGCTTCTTGAGAAGATTGTGCTTCAGAATTCTGCTTTCAGCGGGAACTTTAATCTTCAGAATCTTCTTATTTTGACAGCGATAAAGGCTGATTCATCCAGAGTAATGGATTATATCAATAGATTGGATAACTTTGATGGTCCCCAAGTTGGAGATATGGCCGTTGAGGCAGAGTTATATGAGGAGGCTTTTGCAATTTTCAAGAAGTTCAATTTGAATGTTCAAGCAGTCAATGTCTTGCTAGATAATATTCATAGCATTGATAGAGCTGTGGAGTTTGCTTTCCGAGTTGAAGAAGATGCTGTTTGGAGTGAGGTGGCCAAGGCTCAACTCAGGGAAGGTCTAGTTAGTGATGCAATTGAGTCATTTATAAGAGCTGATGATACCACACAATTTTTGGATGTCATTCGAGCTGCTCAAGATAGCAATGTTTACCAGGACTTGGTGAGATACTTGCTGATGGTAAGGCAGAAAACTAAAGAACCCAAGGTGGACAGTGAGCTTATTTATGCATATGCAAAGATTGATAGGCTAAGTGACATTGAGGAGTTCATTCTCATGCCAAATGTGGCCAATCTTCAAAATGTTGGCGACAGATTGTATGATGAAGAGCTTTATGAGGCTGCGAAAATTATATTTGCCTTTATATCTAACTGGGCTAAATTAGCAGTCACACTTGTGAAGTTGAAACAGTTCCAAGGTGCCGTTGATGCAGCAAGGAAAGCTAACAGTGCCAAAACATGGAAGGAAGTTTGCTTTGCATGTGTTGATGAAGAGGAGTTCCGTTTGGCCCAGATATGCGGGCTGAACATTATCATTCAGGTAATATGTTTAATTTTTGTTTATTCCTTCCTTAACTATATGTTGAAATGAACTTTGAAGTTTTTTATTTACTCAGATGTGATCTGATTTTAATTTTAAAAATTGAATAATTTTAGCTGGTCGAAAGGTTTTGTGATCATTGCTTTGATATACAGTTAGTAAGCTTATTATATATAGTCTTTCGAATGCTTAAAAATCAATTCTTTTGTAGGTGGATGACTTGGAAGAGGTAAGTGAATATTACCAAAACAGAGGTCGCTTCAATGAATTAATATCCCTCATGGAGAGTGGCCTAGGATTAGAACGGGCACACATGGGAATATTCACCGAGTTGGGAGTTCTGTATGCTAGATACCGTCCGGAGAAACTTATGGAGCATATCAAACTATTTGCTACCCGCCTCAATATTCCTAAACTCATAAGAGCTTGTGATGAACAACAACATTGGAAGGAACTGACCTATTTGTATATCCAATATGATGAGTTTGATAATGCTGCAACAACCATCATGAACCATTCACCTGAAGCATGGGATCACATGCAATTTAAAGATGTTATTGCCAAAGTCGCTAATGTGGAGTTGTATTACAAGGCTGTTCACTTCTATTTGCAAGAGCATCCCGATCTTATCAATGATGTTCTGAATGTCCTTGCACTTAGGGTTGACCATGCACGTGTTGTTGACATCATGCGAAAGGTAGCGTCAGTATTGTCAAAAACTTCATTAATCGCAGTTTATACATTATGACCTGTTTTTTGTATTACTCATAAATGTTTTTCTGTAACATTCTATAGGCTGGTCACCTCCGTCTGGTCAAACCATACATGGTTGCAGTTCAGAGCAATAATGTGTCGGCTGTTAATGAAGCCTTGAATGAGATATATGTTGAGGAGGAAGACTATGATAGATTGCGTGAGTCAATCGATTTGCATGATAATTTTGATCAGATAGGCCTTGCACAAAAGGTGAGTTTCATTTATCCTCCATTAGATTATTCTTCAATTTAACTGTAGTAATCTAATATATATCATCATCATCATCATATCTATTGCAGATTGAGAAACACGAGCTTCTTGAAATGAGACGTGTTGCTGCTTATATTTACAAGAAGGCAAATAGGTGGAAGCAGTCCATTGCTTTGTCAAAGAAGGATAATCTTTACAAAGATGCAATGGAAACAGCATCGCAATCGGGTGAACGTGAACTTGCTGAAGAGTTGCTTGTTTATTTCATTGATCAGGTACCAAATTCAATTTCAACTGCATATACTGTATAATGACCCCTTCTAAATCAGTCATTGGTCCAGCCTAAGCCCTAGATGATTTAGGATTCATTCTAGTTCTTGTTTCATCACGTGTTTTCTAAGCGAAGATGCTAAGTCATCGTGCTTCGAATGTTTCATATTGCTAAGGCATCCTTGATAGCATGTGTAGTTTGAAGTACGACAGAAATTATTGGCAACCAGCAATAGTAGTATTTTATTAAGCTTTTAGACATTAATGTGCATACAATAGAGTAAGACCAATCAATATATTCTGATATTTCTTTCCACATGCTTATGCAGGGAAAGAAGGAATGCTTTGCCTCGTGTCTGTTTGTTTGCTACGATTTGATCAGGGTAGATGTTGCTCTTGAACTGGCTTGGATGCACAATATGATTGACTTTGCTTTCCCATATCTCTTACAGGTTTGTAATCTTTTGTGCTTCTTGCATAACTAATATACATTACAGTTTATATACAAGTCTTTTTCATTTTGTTATCTAGTTGTTGTTTTTTTTCACTGTCTTCTCTTTGCTATTGTAGTTTATCCGTGAGTACACTGGCAAGGTTGATGAATTGGTGAAGCACAAAATTGAATCGCAGAACGAAGTCAAGGCTAAAGAACAAGAAGAGAAGGAAGTAATTTCACAACAGGTATTTTGTTTGGCCATTTTATGTTACCTACTAATAACTTGCCATTTCTACGATTCTGTCTCCCTTTCATCCATCACTCTTAAAAAATTGAGCTGTATATGTATTGTTGCAGAATATGTATGCTCAGTTATTGCCCCTTGCTTTGCCCGCACCACCAATGCCTGGAATGGGAGGTGGTTTTGCCCCTCCCCCTCAAATGGGCGGCGGATTTGGGATGCCTCCAATGCCTCCTTTTGGCATGCCCATGGGTAGCAGCTACTGACAGGCAGCGGACCATGGTTTATTCAGCAATGGACTCAAGTCTAAAAATGGAGACCAATGCAGCAGGTTATGTGTTTGTATAAATTTCCAGGTGGGATTTTAATGCAGTATTCTTTCTCTGCTTCTGATTGAGGTGGGGGCTAAGGTCAAAATAATTTCCAGTTTCTGTTTGGGGGTTTGTGCTATATAGTTGTGATATTTTTTTTGTAGATGAGGCATTTTTTGGCTGCTAGCAGCCGAGGATTTTCAATAGTAATCATTTTTATTGTATTTAGATGATTTGGGTCTCAAGTATGATGCCAAATGGTTGTGGCTTGTTTGTCGTATGTATCTTTATATAAAAAAATACATGGTTATTGCAATATTGCGACTTATATTCCTTAATTTCTTTTCGTTTCGAGCTTATATACATTTCCGGTGCTAACAATGCACATCACTTTGATATACCTGCTTGATCTCTTGTACCCTACATGTTTTACCAATTTTTATAATCGCTGGTTTTTGTGAATATTACGAAGTTTTTAAATATGATCTAAATAAATGGATGACTTAGTGTCCCTGAAGGCTGTAAACACTAAAGCGGAGTCCAATGTTATTTTTGTAGCTTTGGACTATCAAATTTTAACCAAGTTTTTAGTTCTCAAGTGGGTTGTCTTTGCTTTTGGTGTATTGCATTTGCTTCTATACAAATATTGGAAAATTTTATCCCATCATGGAAAATCCAAAATATCCCCTTATGTTTCGAAGATGCGTCTTAGGATGCATCATGTCTTAAGTGAAAAGGTTAATTGATTCTGAGATTATTTTCGTAATATTTCAAAACACATCTTACACATCTTTTTCTGAATGATCTATTTTACATGTTTATTGGTTTTGAGATGCACTTTTAGTTTTTAAAAATCCAGATGTTGAAAATTTTTAGAGATACATTTCCAAAACTTTCATGCAAACCACCAAACTTTCACAAATAATCGTTATTTTTAACCATCAAACACGTTTTTGAGTATGTATAATTATAAATCATGTAAAAAACTATCTATTTCTTAACCTAATAATCAATTTTTACTCATTTATACAAAAAATTTACAAAAATAAAAAACTTATAAATTGAGAGTTTAATTCACCATTGAATGATCTCTATGTATTTAATGTAGATAGAAGAAGCTTGTGCTTGGTTGATTGATTTTGAGAAAATGTGAATAGAGAGGAGAGAGTTTGAAAAAATATTTAGTGTTTTTTTAGAAGTGAGGAAAGAGAAGGATTCTGACATATTTTACAACTAAAATTTTTCAGAGATACATCTCTATAGTATTTATGAAAAATGTATTTTTATATTTTTTTTAACGTTTAGTTAAAATTTTATTAATTTAGGGTGTGTCTAAATATATCTCCAAAAATTATAAATATTTTTGTATTTTCAAGTAATCTCCTACTAATACATATAGTGCATTAAGAAATTCCAAAAAAATATTTTGATGTTCAAAATACTTTTTATGTGGTTTTCAAGGGCAAGTTAAACCAAATTGAAAGAAAGCTGGGATTCCTTTGATTCAATTTCTTTTTTCTACTTGGTGAATTTGATTTGGGTACTGATGGAAAAAATTGAAACCGTAGAATTTGAACCAAAATGCAGCCATCATTAGATATCAAGAAATGTAAATACTCATCAACCTTAATACAATTAAGTGCTTGAAACAAAATAAAACTACGGTATTATTGTTGCTCAAAATCTAACTTAGGTTTAGAATCAGGAAATAAACAGTTAAGTGACCTTATATCTAGAGCAATGTATTGTCACTTAGTCATTTGCATTCGGTAAATAGTATAATTGAATTTTAGAAACAGATTACAAGAATAGTACAGGTATTATCAAGAATAGGTAATGCTGAGGGGTTTATAACATAATCCTAGGCATAAAAATAACAGAAGTGACTATGTAGTAAAGAAGAATAACATTATCATATGCCGGAGAATCCTAATGGTAAATGTTGCATAACTTAATAATGTTGTCTTTTATAATCAAAGAGACTCTGCATAATATGTAATTCATGTCCCGTTTTAAGTGAATAACATATATATGCATGTGAAATGTAGGGTATACGCGTGCCTCGTATCAAAGAGACATGAATTATATATATTATGTCAAGTGCACAACATATATGCATGTCATGTATTAAGTTATAATGTAAATGTTATGTGAAATGTAGGGTATGTCTCGTATATACATTATATATAATTGACTTAATTGCAACTATGATTCTCCTATTTTGTATTTTTTTGGGTTTTGGTTTCCTCATTTTAAAAACTATGATTTTGGTCAATTTTTAAAATTTTGAGTTTGATTTTAGTCCCCTCTTCAATTTTAATTTTTTTTAATGATGTGGCACTACCTAAGATAACGTGTCTAGTCATTTTTAAAATATTAATTTAAAACTTTTTTTATTGACTAGGATAATTAACTTATTAATATTATTTTAATTAATTAATTAATAATTAATATTTTATTATTAATTTTTATCATTAATTAATTAATTAAAATTTTAAATAAATTTTTGTTGGCCTTTAGTTATTGACCCATGTTTTTGGTACACAATTCAACTACTATGTTTGTTTTAGTTTTATAAACACTTTTATGTCTTATACAAAAATTCAATGTGGGACTTCTAAAAGACATTTTATACTATAACATTATCTCCTTCTTTATTGTAATAACTTCTCATTCTTCTCAAACTTCATAGAATTGAGAAAAACATATATTGAATACCGTGTCACTCCATAAGATTGTCTGAGATTTAGAGTCGTGAAAAACAAAAAAAAATAATGAAGTGAAGGCAACAAAAAGTAATATTGGCAATAGTGTCCCAGGCCTATTGACCCCAAAATCATCTAGGCTAGGTATATTAAGAAAAGGTGTTAACTTCTCTCCAGTTTTATGAACGGTACAACATTATCATCAGGTCAACAAAAACAAATTTCCATCAAATAGCAGAATCCATGAGCATTGCAATCTTGCAATTCCAATTTCATTGGAGTTCAATTTTAGTTAGCTAAACTAAATGCTTTCCATTAATGCAAAAAGTTCTATCTCTGCCATCCGCTAAACACAACATAATGATGAAACAACAACATTGAAGTCCAATGCAGCCTTTTATTTAGCTCTGGAAAAGTCTAACAAACCTGAATCATAATTGATGAAAATCCAAATCTGATTCTCCTTCTAATATCGTTGAAAGTTCACGGTAGACTCTCTCAGCATTCAAAAGCACACAAAGCTGGTGAGTTATAAGAGCACCACGCCTGGAGTTGATTGTATAGAATGAATTTTAATGAAACGATAGTTATGTTACTAGAAGAACACATAGGATAGGATGAAGAAAAATAGCTTACTTCTCCAAAAGAGAATGATCTAACCTGAAACTGTGCACAAGGAAAACAACAAGATGTCGGAAGTGCCGAGGGTCTTTTGCAATGCATGCATGAACATCAAGAACAACCTATTTGATATAAAAGAATTCAGATGAATTAATGAAAATTCAAGCTAATGATTTCTAGTTTCCGGAATTATAAATATAACATACATGAGAATCATAAAAAATATCACTTCTTTATTCAGTCAGCATAAGAGCAATGTTTAAATACCAAACCAGAGACTAAACAGATAAGATCTCAATGTCATCTTTCAATCCGTTAAACCAAGTAGATTTGTCTTCGAAACCTATGATCAGAAATAGAAATCCCAAACCACTCACCTACTCCACATTCCCAAACACAATACTGGTATTGCAACTACTTGTCAAGAAATTTTAGTATGTATCTATGCATTGATAAGATATTCAGAAATAAATTATTTGATTTAATTTTAAAAAATGGGAGAAAAAAATGGTATTAAATTAAATTTAGAAATTCCACGTTGATTTTTGTATAAGACATAAAAGTGTTTATAAAGTTGAAACAAATACAACAATTTAATTGTGGGTTAGAAAGATGAATCAAAGACATGACCAATAACTAAAGGCTCAAAAAGCTTCATTTAAAATTTTGATTAATTAATTAATAATAAAATATTAATCATTAATTAAATAATTTGTTGTGAAAGAGATACTTAGAAAACCGAGTTTGACTGGTTTTTTGATCATTAAAAAAATCACAAGGTGAGAAAAGAGAAAAAGATAAAAGAAAGACAATTTAAAATGGTATAAAATCTTAAATTTTTAATTCAATTATACATTAAGGAACAATGTTTACAATTGAATCTCAATCAGACCACTTTCTCGTTCTATCAGGATTGTTGAAAAGTGAGAACTAGCTTATAACCCATAAGCAACAAATCTCAACTTTGGAAAACCTTCAGCACTTGGACTTCTCCAAGCTCGATTATCTTTATGACAAAATGCAACATCACATCCAAGCGTGTGACATTTTGGCTCACATTTATCAATGATTGCTTGATCTTGAAGTTTCAGCTCCTTAACAAAATCTTCAAGCCACAATGATTATTTCACAATTTCAGCGAGGGCAATATACTCCACTTCAGTGGTTGATAAGGCAACAACCTTCTAAAGTGTTGCTTTCCAACTATCTGCTGTGCCAAACATAATGAACGCATATCCAGAAATAGATTTTCTAAAATTCATACAACCTGTATAATTTGATCGATAAATCCTCATCAATTTCTAACTCTTCAGATATATAATATGAATATGACAAATCCCTATCTACCATTTACCTTTCTTCCTTTCAACAAACACAAAACCAAGTGTACCTTCTTCACTTGATGGTTCCTTATCTGCAAAAATTCCTTCATCCACCCTTTGTTTTTTTGGGTCTTCCCTTTTTCTTGTTGAAACTTCCTTTGACCTTCTTTTTCTTTGGTATACCACTCTTCCTTTTTTTTTACCTTGAGGTGAATCATTCACTTCTAATTCATCTACCTATTGATCATTTTGGAAAACAACAAACGCTCATACTCCTACCAACACCTCATCAATTCCATCATTTAATACCTCATCATCAGAGTTATCAAACCTGCACCCTAATGCAATATCATCACTTTGTTCATTATGGTCACTCTCAACAATTTTGACATTTTGTTCAGGTATCTCAGGAAGAGTCTCAAGTATCTCAGGCAGACCCTTAACTTGTGGTTTAGTGGGTTAGACATAGATTATGACATGTTGGACATCAACTACTTCTATTACATCAGGTTGGAAAATAGGATGGACTATGTATATACCTTTCCATTAGTCTTGGACCAATTTAACAATTCTATTGCACAAAAGTCATTTACTAGCTCCTTTAATGTACTAGCAAAATCATACGACCTTTCAAGTACCTTAGGATACCCCATTTCTTTAACAACACTCAAAATTTCAAAATAACTTCATCTATCGCCATCACACTTCCAATTTGACACTTCCCTCATACATATGTATCCTTATCATCAAACTGTCTCCCATGATGAAAGTCAACATAAAAAACATCCATTTGGAGAAGAGAGTTGTACACTGTAGAAATCAATATAGATATAAGGGACCATATAGAAAATCCTAAACTTCAATAAAGAAAAATTACATTATTCTACACTAGCGTACCAATACTGAAAAACTGGACATTCACCTATAATCCCTAAAATATGAATAAAAAAATTATGGAAAGCGACACATACCTCAATGTTCAATGCTTTGCTTTTGCGTTCCTCTCCTTCGAATCCTTCTTCTCCCTTCTTCGTTCCTACTTGCGTAACTCTTCTTATCCGTGTATGAGTACCTCTCGTTCCTTTTGCGTTCGTAGCTCTCCTCGTTCACGTTTAGGGTTTCATGTTCTTCGTCGCTCCTTCTCTTTCTCAATGTGGGATTTAGAGATTTCGTGTTTAGGGATGCAGTTTGAAGCAATGTCTTTGTTTAATTAGTTAAAGTTAAATTAAAAACAAATACATGTTATTAACGTTACATTCATATCAACAACGTTACAACCACCTCATCAACGTTAATGCCAAATATGTATTTTTGGGACGGAAATTTTAAAAAAGGCCACGGTGTAGACATTATGTAACTTAAAAGACTAACTTGTAGCAGAAAACAACCTGTTACAATTAAATAACATTATGTAACTTAAAAGACTAACTTGTAGCAGAAAACAACCTGTTACAATTAAATAACTTAAAGGATCCCAGTGTATTCTTCCTAAATAATAATAATATTAATAACTTAATTAATTAAAAAAATTAAAAAAAATTGAGAGAAGTTTATATATAAAAAATATTATTCTAAAGAAATTATTATTTCATTTAACATAATACACCTTAATAAACAATAATAATTTTACAAAATATCAAAAACTTCTCTTCATTAAAAAATTCATAAAAAGACGAGCCTATGTTTATAATTTATTTTGATAACACTATATCTATTAAAAAAAATCTCGGGTTACTGAATCTTGAGTTCTAGGCCGTCGCACTTCTGATCTTAAACTAGGGTTAACCTTATATTTATCTTGTATAACTTACTTCTTCCGTTTCTTTGTAAGTGTTGTTTTTTAAAAAAAAATTATTTCTCTTTAATTGTCATTTGTAAAATTTAAGGTAGTATTAAATGTATTTTTGTTAAAATTATCCATAAATAATTATTATTGAGAGAGAAAAATAAAATGAATGTAATAAATAATTAAGAATATTATAGGTAAAAGAATAATTATTGTATGAAAAGTAACAATATTGATTAGCTTTCTTAACATGTGTAAAATATCAAAAAGTGATACTTAAAAAAGGAACAAAGGTACTACATTCATAGAATTTCCAACCATGATTCTTAAGTCTATACTATCATTAATAGTGAATCCAACTCACAATAATATTGCATTCTTTTTTTTATTACTACAAAAAGTTACTAAAAATGAAGTGATTCAAAAGCCATTAGGTATTATCATGACCGTCTTTGAGGGCGTGCCAGACAATCTATAGCATAGGACCTCATAATTTTTCAGGATTAAATTAGGTCAAAAAAGACTTCTATACATATATTTCATGATAAAATAGGATCCCATAAAAAAATTCACGACTAAAATGAAGATAACTTTAACTTCTAACATACTCTTTCAAAATTTTGAGACGACTCTGAGTATTACTTGAAATAATTGTAGTAGATGTGAATAATACAATGTAAATTTGATATTCAAGAAGATGATGTTTGGTAATATCTAAGGGGTTAAAAAAGACACGAGGAAACTATCTTTCCGAGACATTTTAAGTTAAAGTTAAATTTATTTTGAATTTAAATAATTTCACATTAAATTTATTTAATTTTTAATTAATTTTAGTTTAATATAATAAATATGCTAAAAATAAAAAATAAAAAAATTTCACTAATGTTACACCGATTTCTAATAAGAATCGAATTGTGTAGTTTTTAGAAAAAAAAAGTTATAATATAGAATATGTTGGATTCTTTTTAAATGATAGTGTAAATTAAATTCTAAATAAAATATGAAGTAATTTTAAACTCACATTTTGTAGATTTTTTTTGAACCCCTCTTTTAATTGATTTTAATTTTTCTTTTGGTATTTTTATTTTCCTGATTTCACTATGAACTTTTGTCATCTTTATTTGACAAGGCACATACATAACTAATGCATATTCTATTCTTTCTTTTTATTTTTTATTTATAATTTTTTATAATTTTTAATTTTTAATTTAATTTTATATAATTGTGACAAGTAAAAATGAAAAAAAAGAAGCAATATGTGTGGTCACGCGCTATATGGCGTGTTACCATACCATAACAGCGATTTCATTCTTAGCGGTAAGAGGAGGAGGAGTGGCTATCCATGGTTGTGATTTCAAACACAATCATATCAAATGGTTTTATCTCTAAACCCTATCATCACCTTCTCCTCAACAACGGTAATTTTCTCTCATCACTTTCTTTTTCAACCATCTTAGTCTTTACTTTCTTCCACATATGATTATAGATAGATTGAAGCTATGATAACTAGATTATGTTTAACTTATGGAAATTGATTGTGAAAACAAGCTGAAATTTAAGTACCGGCTTGTAATTGATTCCTGCAATTGCATACAGAACTTTATTAGGTTCATGGTGTATCAAAATCCCTTTTATATGTCTATTTTGGGATTATTCTGGAAAATTAAAATACCTTCTAATATGTACTTGGTTATTATTAACTTTCATTTTTCTTATCACTCACAATTCTTTCATTCTCCATTAGAAGTTGGAAACAAAGTATCATGATGCATCCAGGTACCCGAAGGTCACTCAGATTATGCCCTCTTTGGTAACTTCTCGAACGAGAATGTTCGTCAAGGAAAAAAGATTCGGTCGCTGTTTTTCAGTTGCAAATAGTGATCAGCTTTCAGCAAATGCCAGTAATAAGGATCCTGGCAGTGCTGCAAATGATCAGTTACCGTCCACGAATCCTCCGGTTGGAGTTGACTCAGAATCACAGACACCGGAGGGTTCCAACGGGTCATTAGGATCTGCAGCATCTCCTAATTCAAAATCTGTAATCACGCGATCGTCTCAGAAACTGAGAGAGAGGATAAAGGCGGCTCGGGTTCTCAACCTGTCGAAGGAACCAAAACCAAAAGCATCTAAGTCAGATATGGGCAGTAGTGTGTTAGAAGCTTTTAGAGAGAGTGATAAAGGGAAGAAGAAGAGAAGATCTGGACTTCCAGAAGCCCCTGGTAATTTGTTTGACGATAGCAAACGAGGGATGCCGAAGTCAGGTTTGACTTTTGATTTTCCAGGTGGTTCTGATCTCTTTTTCATTATCTTTTCATTTGTTTTTATCAGCACAGTGATGTTTGGAACAACTTTCATTGTGTGGAAACTTGGTGCAATCCATTTTAATGACTCTTGAGATGAGATTTCAAGAGTTCACACTTCACCAGATATATAGAATAGCTTATTTATAATATTTTGACAAGCTTCAGCTTCTTTAAACTTCATGAAGTGCTGTTGATGTTCAGTTTTTTGTGTGTTTTGTGCTCAACTTTTTCTATTTTTCTCTATTGTTTTTGTTATTATTTCATATGGTGGAGAGAGGTTTAATTCAGAGGGGAGATAACAATTCAGATAGAAGCATGATCCTATATAGAATATAATGAAGAAAGTTTATCTATGTAGCCAATAGATGATTAAGGTGAGTGAGAGGCCAAAAATGAGTCGTACCTTGGGTGATGATCATGAGACTTATATAGCTCTAAAATGTAACTGCATGTTCTGAAAGAGGTGACATTGGACTTGAGCTAACTCAAAAGTCCACTCCAACAATGTTGTCAAATATCGGCCTGGTGGAATCTGGTGGCAAATTTTTTGACAACTTGTGGCGGATTTGTGAAGGATTGCAGTGCCATATGGCGGATTTCTTGCTTTCCGCCGCAGGTGTCCCGTGATCCAACATTGATAGCGCCGCATTATGCAGAGTCTCAATGTCATTTTGCTCAAACTAATAATTTCTCCACTTCTTTTAATGAACATATGGATGGTGGAAACAAATCGTCTCCACTAAGATTGAAACCAACCCTTAGCCCCGTCTTTCAAAGAGAATAAAAATAGTCTCATATTTTTTGTATCTTTTGTTGCTCCACTATTCTTCTAAGATTCTAAATTTTTAAAAAGATAGAAACATGTTTGAATCTCTGGCCTTTGCTACACTAGTGAAATGAATCTATTTCAACACATTGAGAAGTGCTACTACATTGATCTCAAAAGTGTTGTGTAAAGTATAATCAACATTTAAACAACTGTAGCTTAATTTATATACCAGACTTAATTTACTATCGTCCAAACTTTACAACTATCGTTCACTCCATCTACCATATCAAGTTGTTTGTATGACTAAAAGATTTGTGAACAATAAAAAATGTTTTAGCTAAAGCTACAAACACATACCTTATTTTTTTGATAAATTGGTCAATAAATAAAAACTAATTCAAGTTTTTGTTAGTAAAAAAATGATTCAAACTAATAGTGGTGATTCTGAGTTATTAATAGTAGCTTAGTGTTTTTATTTTTCTAAACTGCCACTAAAAACACAGTTCGCAAGCTCTCTACAGTCTCTTGGTTGCTCGCCAAAGACGTTGTTCTCTTTCTACTCGTCCCTCTATCTGCTCAACGTTCTCTCTATGTTATGTTATTTGCAAATCATTTAAAGTAAGCTTTGATTTATGCATATTTTATTTTGTACTCTTTACTCTTGTTTTTGTTGGTTCAAGCTTTAATATGATTTATTCGTGAGGTGGACATTATTTGCGGTGAGCATTATTTTTAGATGAAACAATATTTGATGGATCTCAAAAAAGATGCAATGCATAAAAACAAAAGCAAGCAGATCGAAGATGTAAAAACAAAAGAAACTGCAATGAAGATGAAAAAAAAAAAGACACCACAGTGAAGACGAAAAACAAAATAATTCACAAACAAGGTGAGGGTGTGTAGAACCCAATCCAACTCTAAGATCCGTCCAATCCAATGGTTTTGGTTTGATCATTTTCTTATCTAATGTTAAAAATGAGAATTGCTCTTTCGACTCTTATATGTATTATGACACTATTGTAAAAAGTCACAACTGTCCATAGTGTCTGAAGATACATTTTTAGACGCATCTTTTTCACACATTTCAGATGAAATTGTTGAGATTTCTTTATAACGTCCGAGGATGTATTTTTAGACGCATCTTTTTCACACTTCATGAAACTGCTGAGATTTCTTTACTCTGTTAAAATTTAATCCGGAGATGCATCTCCATATGTTTAAAAGATTAACACTTCTTAGTTTAATATTCATTGAGTTTTCTAGAAATGCAACTCCAGAATATGTCTTGTTAATTCAAACTAGAAACAACCAAAAACAATGGAAAAACAACATTTGTGTATTTCAAAATAAATATTACATAAATAAAAGTTAACGATAACATAAATTTAACATTATATTTTATTATAAATTGGTGGTTCAGGACATTGCAACATCCTTAGAATATCTTCTGCCGGTCTTAAAATTGTCGCGTTCACTTCAATTGGACCATTTATCGAGTAACTGTAAAAGATACTCCACATAAGCTTTAAATCATCATTTCTCTTCAATTTAAGCATGGTGAAACGTATCTTTTATTCGTTGTCAATCGAGAGTGAACGGTACTCAATCTTGATAACTCTATGATTTTGTGGATATCGTAAGAGAGTATTCCGTATGCTTTTTAGATAGACGAGAATTATGTACTCGGAGACCCGAAATTGAAATGGAGTTTTACGTCATTAAAATACACAAATGCAAGATGAGGATGTGTATTCATTCTGGTTTGTGTAAAGAAAATAGAATGAAACCCTGTCTATACAAGTTGTTGTAGATCAATAAGGACCTTACAAACCCTATCATATCATCAGGGACTTTACAGAGATGCACATATGTATAGTCTCTTATTTCGTTCTTTTTATGATTTAAAGGTGCGTTCAGAGACGCATCTCTGGATATGTCCAGTTTTTTGAGAAACTATGGAGATGTACATCCATAAAGTTTTCTATATTGTTGTTTTATAAGTAAAATGTGTATTAGGAGATGCATCTTCAGACCCACCCGATCCACTGTTTACACAACACTAGTGTATTATGCAGTACATAAATGCTAGAAGCACAAAAAATTGTCCAAAAATTACCATCAAATTTGATAACATTATGCAATGTGTTACATACAAAAAATGAGTTACATTGTTAGATTAAAATTAAATAGCATTAAAAGATATGTCACTACCTAAATCTATTGGTGGTTCATTCTTTGACATTTCCTTATTTGTTTCTCTTTCAATGTCGATCAACTTGGTGAACTCTTCCATCCTTTTCAGAAAGTGATTCAGTCAAGTTTCAACATCTTGTGTGACATGTGCCATCAATTTCGATGATGTCTTTGGTATAGGACATGTTTCAAATAAAATTGAATAACATGTTTTTTTTTTATAGTCAACCAATAGCCATTATGCATTCAGATGGATTTCAGGCAGCTTACTTCGAAGTGGAAAGAATGTTTCCGAAAAATCATATCGTGTTAAATTAATACACACCCTATCATAAGCACTTGCTATAAGATGTCTCATTTTTGGGAAACACATCCATTTTCCAAACGGAGTCGGACCACTAATACAAGGGACAAGAGCATTGAGAATTGCATCATAATTTGCTTTGTTCTCTTATAAATTTGTGTATGATTCTCTATAAGTCTCCATCTCTTGTATGACGGCGGACAAATTGATAATCGTCCTCTCCTTTACCGAGGAAACACGAAACAACTCAAAAACCAAGGTTGCCATCAACATTTAAAATTCGCTTAATGTATTTGTCCATAAAAAGCAACATATATTCAATGTGTTATTTTTGGTAACGGCGATGGAGGAGATGGGTTGCTAATGCGAGCACCCTTGAAAATAATATTTTGGTATTTTAGAGTCGGAGAACCTGAAAAATGTGAGTCAACATGTTCATAGTATCAAGAAGACTGTCGCGTGGAGTTATCACTTTGTGTCAGTTTGACCTTTTCAGTGACACCCTTTATTTTAACTGATTTTGACTTCTCACATTTTTGGTTATGTGATTCTTACAAAGTAATGCAGATGATGTAAGAAACACCATTGCAACTGAATTCATTAACGCAGTGTCGCGATTGGTGACTGTTACTTGCGACACATTTTCTTGGTCCTTCAACATAATCTTGTATATTTGCAAAGCCCATGTAACATTGTCCTTTTTTTAGATTCCAAAAATGCAAAACTGACTGAAAAAGTCATCTCCATAGATGTAACACCAATAATTTTCAAGAATGGAAGTCTATACTTATTTATTTTGTATGTTGAATAAATTATGAGCATGGTAAGTGTTAAAAAACTTGACAAAATCGGGATGACTCCAAAATATATCTCGAACGGTGATTTTATCCTCACAAACTCTATACCTAGAAACATATGTATCATGTTTAAAAAGTTTCAACAGTTGTTGTATCTCCGATATTGGTCCTCTTATGGCCTTGTTGTTTCAAGCACACACGTTATATATATATATATATATATATATATATATATATATATATATATATATATATATATATATATATATATATATATATATATATATATATATATATATATATATATATATATATATATACGATGGGATGACCAACTGACTTATCATTCAAGGCATGATTATGTATGCCATAAATCACATTAAATTTCCATGTTTCATCCATCATACTGCATCGAGGCAATTTAAACAAACACTTACAAATGCTTGTCTTCTCTCTGAATCATTGTCAGGCCTTTTGATTACAACTTAAAACCCCAATTTCCCGACCTCAATGCGAACCCATTGTAGCATATGTTCACAAATCATAAACATTCTTTTATTTGTAAATTGTGCACGAACATCTACCTCGACAAAAACCGGCCGAGCATCCGGTTTAACATCATAATTCACTTTATCCAGTTTAGCATAATGCTTTATTTTAATCATTTTAACATCCACACTCACAATAACTTTGGGAAACATATTCGAATGCATCATGTCTAATACAACAAATAACATAAAAATAAAAATTCAGCTCAAAAACCAGATATTAGGACAATTCGGATATGCATATCCAGGCTACACCAAACTTTATCAAGAGATGCACATCTGGATTCAACATTCAAGCTCAAAAACCACATTAATGCAAGGAATGATGAATGTAATGAATGAACTTTATCTGCAATTCCAACTTTTTTTCCTCCCTTTGATGTGATGAAATAAGAGAATGATGTTTTAGTGTTGAAATGTTGATTGAGAATGAAAGAAACTTCTTATGGGTTTTGAAAATGAAGTATTGTTTAAGCATGAA